GAAGAGGGTCACACCAGACGTCAGGAGACGGCGAAAAGCTCGGCGACGTTCCATCCATGTGGTCGATTGGCTGTGGAAGTGGTGTCACAATATTGTTGAAGACTGTGTTGAATTTCTCGAACTATGGTGACCCTTCTCAAAACAAACACAGTCAAAACTACAAATGTAGTTTTCAATGGAACACACTCCTACGTAAATTGTGAACGGCTACTATTTCCGGGTATAACAATGTGTGTGTGTGTGCAACATTTTTTTCCAGTCCACACTTTCGTCTAACCAAAAAAACACATTTATGGGCGATATATATACTACATTGTATAATTGAAAATATGTGTTAAGACGTACGTGACGTAGCAGTTATGTATTGGTTAATAGTTGTTGTTCGATTCATTAAAACGTGTTCCGAATGTGGGACTATGAATTATGTGATCGACTCGTTGTTTCAGCATGGCAGGTCGCAAGAATGAAATGGATTTCGATGACCTCGCGAAATATTTTTACGAGGCGGTGGCGTTGGAAAGTGCCAACGCCACAAATGAATTGCAGACAGATAACGTTTTGAATTGTAAGCTCGCTGAACCCATATACGGTCGTATTTGTACTACGATGGATCTGGGTGAACCGGACAAGCTGTCTTTCATACCCGGTCGAAAAACAGCGTTTGTATTCGGACCAGAAACAATAACAAATGCGTTGTTGTCAAGGAAACCGTACGACATGCTGCAACATCTAGGGTATCTACCAGAATATATTTACAGAAAAGTAAGTTTCTATTTGTTTTCATTTCTATTTGTTGATAGTATAATAGTTCAATGATATTTTCTCAATAATAACCATATTTCAGATATTCTCATACCAGCCAATGATACATGATCCCACGCACCCCTAATTTCATGTTAGGATTTAACCAAAAATAAATCGACAGGTTGGAGGCTAACTGATGTGGCTATACAAGACTGCCAACCATTCATAACGCATGATCATGTAATTATTTCTTCCTTTTTTCAATTATTTTACAAAAGTATTAATTATTTAACCTTATACTGGAATGTTTATGTTGAATTATATGAACCATATGTATGTATATATATATATATATATAATCCGATAATTGTTATTATCAAGATTATATAGTGCCACTGGTCTTATATCTAGCACACTAGGTGTCCCGTGAGTCTGTCTGAAATTAAATTAAATATTGAAGAAAACATATGTATATAATTTTTTAATATTGTTGTTCGGTACTCCATACCGTAGACCAAATCGGATTATGATTTATCCTAAACTAACAAATGTATTTGCAATGGCACAGTACCAAAACAATCAATGTACCCATGCGTATTTGCGTACTCAGATGAATGCTAATAAGAACATTTTGTGTCTATTAGTATATAGTGTCAAACAACCATACTAACAATTACGTGTTCTCGTCTATATTGCACTATTTATGAGTTATGTTTGGTTATTATTTCTCGCCAAATATGCTAATTTTTGCCCAGAGAATACTCTCTACGATTTATGGCCTCTAAACATGACATTGGAGACGCTTTACAACAAGTCTGAGAAGAATTGTGGAAGCCAATTTGCAAACTCGCAAGCGAATTGGCTAACTGCTTGGTTTTTGACTGTGAACAGTTGGCTTTCGAATCTCGCTGGCAAATTGGCTGCCCCACTACTTCTGAGACTTGCTGTAATATCAGATGTATAGTGTCTCTTTTAAAGGTAAACTAATTATTACAACTATGTTTTTTGTTATAAATTCTATTACTCAAATCGACAACAATTTCTATATCTTTCAAAATCAATAATATTGATGAGAACATAAAGCTACAACAATATATATCCTGTGATCACCATGCTATGATTTGTCCGATATCATCGTCAAGCAGAATTATGGCAAACTTGTAGTTATGTACATATGCTTTGTAGTAACTCGACATGAATTATAGACGATATTTTGTTGTATTTTTTCCATGACAAATAATGAGTAAATCAATCATCTTCTGTTTCAGGTGTGCCAAGAAAATCGGTCTTTCTGGCTTGTGTTGTTTCGTCCCGAGAAAATTAAGGTCGTTCGGGCATCCTGGGGCGGTGTGGTGGACTTCACCAAGGCGTACTACCCCAAAGCACAAAACACACTGCTGCAACACCTTGAAGAAATCAAGCAGCACAATGTCGAATTTTACGAGAAACAAGCCGGGTTCAAATTCATTGAGGCAATAAAAGAACCACCTGACGAAATGTACATGAGTTATGACAAATATGTTAGCCTCAAGAAACCAGTCAAAACTTGGCAAACTAGATTGTTTTTTTATTGCGAGCTTAGATTGTTTGAACTTTTCAAGGGCGATGGGTACACGCAGAACGACTGCGGCATTACGGGTGAGAAGGAATACATGTGTCCGAATGTTGAGATTTCAAAACTAGGGAAGGGGAATTACGTCATTCTACCCATGCACGTCGATGTACCCAATGACGTGAAAAAAAGGTTTCAAGATAAATGATATTTACACATTACCTAGTAATTCACTAAACTGGTAATATTAGATGTATGCCGCGACTACTGCGCACGGTTCTTTAGCACGGGCTTGAAATGTCTTAAAAACAATTCAAGTTAGCCCGTGTGCGAACGTGACAATCATGACTTTAGCGCTAAAGCTGTACTAGTATTTCAGTTTGCAGTGCTTTCAGCTACGCATTACTGCTGAAAGACATTCAATTCTGTTTCCATGTTTTGATTTTTATGATTTGCCAAACAAGTAGCGTGATTCTTTGTTTGGGAAATCAACGACGACATTTGAAAACGCAACACATTTTTAAATAACGAATGTTCATTACCTAACTCAAGAAATAGGCGTTTCTCAAAAACTGAAATCAATCTCAATCGTCGTACAAGTTATTATGTGTAAAAAAAAACTTATAGTAATAATGTATCATTTACAAACTTGTTTTGCGGGAGATACGTGACGTCATACAGTTCAAGTTGGGTATTATGCCTCGGTTGTTAATTTCATTTTGCGTTTACAGCTCAGGAAGCATTCGTGCACTTGGCCATACCGTGGAAGGTCCGTTAGTACCTTCCATGGCCATACAGAGTAATCCTACAGATATTAACGGCGATGGCAACTACTATTATCTGAATTTCATTCGGAACATATACACGGCAGTGATATGCGTTTATATGTTATTGAACACGTGTTTAAGTGGGTGACAACAACTTTTGCTCAGAAAGGTGGGAGTTTCGTTGAGCGATTGGATAAAAAATCATCTCATTTGCGTAAATTAATATTTACGAACAACCATGATAAAAAATCATCTTTTCAGTGAAACTTTGCCGAAATGCATTCGAATATCCAACATGTTACTCCTAAATTGACTTCTATTATGAGCTGAAAAGGTAATCGGAAAATTGTTGTAAAACTTAAAGTTAGGCGTGGGAGGCGCCCTCGCCGGCATCAAACCTTACTAACTGCTGGCTATTTAAAAATGTGCTGTTTGAACTCAGTCAAGGGGTTGTGGGTATTTGATACGGCACCCATGGTTATGGTTTGCGTAATATGCTTAATTTAATATGCCTTATTTTTGTCTCTTACAATTGTAATAAATTATCACTGATATAGTGTTTGTTTAAAATTACCAAACTAAGCATCAAGTAAAGCTGTTAATTAAAGATTACTGACGTATTTATAACTGTTGTATCATTGAAATAATTTCTCCATGGCTTTGTTCAGGCATCACAACACATTCTGTTCACCGAACAAAGACGCAGTTGGGATTGAAAATGTCTTTATCTTCTGCACACGTTGTCCTCATTCGTGCCGATTTTTATGGTCAATGTGTATACTAAGTTACATTGATCAATAATAATCAATGAAACTTAGAAACATAACATACACATAGACATGTTCTACGTCACTATCAATACTACTAAATGAAACATAACATACAAATAGACATGTCCTACGTCACTATCACTAATAATCAATGAAACTTAGAAACATAACATACAAATAGACATCTATGTCACTATCAATACTACTAAATTAAACATAACATACAAATAGACATGTCCTACGTCACTATCACTAATAATCAATGAAACTTACATGCTTACAAACATAAAATAGACATGGCCTACGTCACTATCAATAATAATCAATGAAACATAACATACAAATAGACGTGTCCTACGTCACTATCAATAATAATCAATGAAACTTACAAACATAACATAGACATGTCCTACGTCACTATCAATAATAATCAATGAAACATAACATACAAATAGACATGTCCTACGTCACTATCAATAATAATCAATGGAACTTAGAAGCATAACATACAAACAGACATGTCCTACGTCCCTGTCAATAATAATCAATGAAACTTACAAACATAACATAGACATGTTCTACGTCACTATCAATACTACTAAATGAAACATAACATACAAATAGACGTGTCCTACGTCACTATCAATAATAATCAATGAAACTTACAAACATAACATGCAAATAGACATGCCCTACGTCACTATCAATAATAATCAATTAAACTTACAAACATAACATACAAATAGACATGTCCTACGCCACTATCAATAATAACCAGTGAAACTTACATGCTTACAAACATAACATACAAATCGACATGTTATGGGAGGAGATACATTAGGCGCGAAGCTATTCAAAAATCATTTTTGGCTGTTTTGCTGGTACAAGAATTTTTTATAAGATTTTAGCACCTAACTAGAGTGGAGGTGTGACCTGCCTGCCAAGTTAGAGCGAAATCTGCCAGCCAAAAAAAAAATTACAAAAGAATTAATAGACATCACGCAAAAGTGGTTTTGATGGCAATCCTGGTAGAGCGGATCGCCAATAAATTAATCTAAACATTTGCTACAGAATATAATAAGAATATAAAATCGACATTTGAATTCCATATCAGACTGTGTAAGCTCACAACTCTTCCGTATTTATGTTAACTACCAACTGTGTTCATTATTTACACCTTGGTGTATACGCGACCCATATGTGTTGCATATCTGTCTTTTTGTAACCCACCGACCTAACCATATTCACCGATATTTCTTTAGTCGCCACGTCTTGTACATGACACCACGCAATCCCTTTACTTTCACGAATCTTGCGCGTCAAATACGATATAATGATCTTCGCAAATCCCCTTCTTCGGTATAACTCTACTGTATGGACTGTTCCGATTGAACCAAAATAAAGCTCCAATCCCCATGCCACAAGTTCGTTGGTGTTACTTTTAAAAATTCCAGCTGTGGGGTGAGTATCCAGGACTAGTTGATTGCGAATCAGTGATAGCCCGCGGCTTTCGAACCTCCAATACTTCTCTATGGTTCCCATGTCTTCCGGCTTCAATTTTGCGAGGTAGAAACCATCTGTTAAATCGCTGAAATAATAGTTTAGTTTGGTGTAAATAGAATATACAATAAAAGCGGCAATAGCTGTGACTATCGATCTTTTCTCTGATTTTTATTTGTCGAAATGTGGACACTGAGAGCAGAGCACATACGCTATATGCCGACATCGTATATTAAATAATTTGCAAAGGAAAATAGAAAGCGTGCGCCGTCGATCGATTGTTTTACAGTTCCCATCATATGTACATTGATTGTATTCAAAGAAAAGGCGATTAGTCGACCTGTAGATTTCACATCGCATTTCATGTGACACTGTGACTGTTTGGAATGGTGTCTGAGACGATATTTCGGTAGATTTGATCATCTTTATGTGGATATATTTGAACAATATATGTTCAATATCGTAGTTATTGCCGCTTTAGCGCAAGGAGAACAGATAATGACCCGTACACAAATGAGATTATTTTACTGTCAATCAGCCTATCCCAAAGTAATGGTGTCCCGTCTGTTTCTGTTCAATTCTCGACGCTTATCATCCAGGTAATTTCAACATAATTATAATTTGTTTTTGTCACATACTACTGTATTAATTAAACTATGATAAATCACTGGCACACCTTTTGAAAGAACAGTCTTCTTTGTTATAGATATAAACATCGGACCGCCCGGTTTCTTTTAGTTCACTGTGTGCAGGAATACATTCCAATAACATAGATTTGAACTTGCTCTCAATACCTGGGAAGATCAATTGAAAATAAAAATATTTTCTGATATGCAATACTTTTTACATGTTTTTTTTTTCTAAATTGGTTGTGTATATGCGATAATTACGCCCGAATAGGTCATCGGAATCTGCCATTTACACAAATTGTCATCCTAATAAGTTCGAATCCTATATTGCGTGATTATGTTCGTAATATAACTGTAATTTATATAACTATCACACTATCACTTGACCGATAAATGTTTTATTTAAAGTAGTTCTTTGGTGGAAAATTGGGCGGTATTGTATGTATGGAACGCAGGTATATCTTACGTCGTCCGCATTCAACACTGTTCACGTTAATTTTTGCATTGTATATTGAAAAGTATGTACCTTGAATTGGGACCACATAAGACAGCAACGGCGTTCCATAGGTACTCCCCTTATGGAGATCACGTACGTACGTCAACCAACTTCAGCCGAGCACAAATACAAGTACATTGTATATGTTGAGGACTCACCTTTAAAACACAAATTATCATTCCAGTCAATAACCCGTGTATTTTGCAATACATACTTCAGTTTCAGATCATCAGTGGCTTGAAATGTGATAGCGTTGCTGTGTACCTACAAGGAAATCAATATTACAATTGTATATAATTCAATTATTAGAATTACTGAGAGAACTTTTTCAATCACTAGCTGCCCCGTATTTATCGACCCAAGTAGAATTAAAGGACAGCAAACAGACGAAATGTGTGGGGCTATATATTTATCAGTATTGACGTAGATAAAGCGTGGATGTTGTTCAATTCACGAAAGAATCTTGTTAATGTGGCGTCTGTCTCTATGGCGATGATTTGGTCAATGTGTGAATGCGGTGAAACACGGTGAAGTACAATAATAAGCTTACATCAGCGCTATCTGGAAACAAGCACAACAACACAGAAAATGATGGCCATTCGTCCACATACGTCGCCAGTTCAAAATGTTTAGCATCTTTCATGTTGGAATTCAGATGACCAATGACCTTCACAAGAAACAACACAAAAGGTAAATTGTCCGATAATATATTATATATACGTTCACATAAATAAATAACCATAAATATCCAAACATTAATCAATAAAAAAATGTAGGGGCTACACAACGTTATGGTAACACATTGGTACAAACATTACAAACAATAAAAACTTTTTTTTTCTATTTTATCATCAACCAATATTTTGGACTAATAGTAACTTTTAAATTGGTTTTTAATAATATTTCATTTCTGGCATTTTCTATATGGCATATTAATATACTGGAGACTTTAGCGACGATTAGACATAGTCAGGGAACCGTGATTAACAAGTCATTGAAAATGACACAGTCCCCGTTAAATTTATTAAAGTTCTCTTCGTGCTCGTCATATTAAAGCGGAGGGGTTGAAACTTGAGTCCAAAGTGACGTACTAGTACACAACAGATTGTTTATTTACATCAATTCGAACACGTGTTGCGTGACGACCTCTCCGGTTTAAGACATAGCAAAGAAAAACATAGATCACAAGTGAAAGTAAAACAAATTGAGGTGCATGTCTATGTTATTGCACCTGCTAAAATTGTTTAAAGTATGTCAAGTGCCCTCTTGTGTTGATGGTGAAGGCAGTGTCCTCAAATTTGCAGTTTTAATAAATATCCGTTCAAAATAATGCGTTGAAATACACTTTAACGTTTGTCATGCCTCTAATTTAAATTCACGTGACAGGGGGTGTCAAACCGCAGGGGGGATAGTTCATCAGTTTATTAGTGTAAAACGTCCATATCTCCATAACCATATCTGAAAGGCGAAAATCAATCTCAGATATGCGAAAGGTGCTTGCTCGCTGTGACAAAATGCAATGAGACATGTAATTGGCGAATAAAACAGTTACTGTAGCATTAATGTGAATCACCCCTGAGGGTGAATGGAAGCAGAGTAGGTCAGAATAACTGGCATGTCAAAAAAAGACACCAACATTAAGAGTAAGCTAGGCATAGGCCCGATTCAAAAATGTCTAAGCATGTCCAAGTTATCACATTTTAAACAAATAAGATGGCCGCCAGTCGGCCATATTTTATCAAATTGCAAATTGAATTGACATGTACATGTATCAATTTATGACATGCTAAACATCAATAAAAATGATACATGGGTGACAGAGATATAGTAATATGGCCAAAGATAAAAACAGCCGTTATTCGGCCATCTTTGGTCTGATTATGAAACAAACTGACATGTATGATGTATGTGCCAAATACGAATGAAAATAGTACATAAATCTTGGAAATATAGTAGTAAGGCCAAAAAGTCAGATGGCTGTCAATCGGCCATCCTGGATCCGATTTTGAAACAAAATGTCATGGACATGTATCCTAACATGTATAAAGTATGTGCCAAAAGCATGTCCAAGATACCACATTTGAAAAAAGAAAAAGCAAGATGCCTGCCAGGAGGCGATCTTTGATCCAATTGCGAAAGCACATTATTACAAAATATACATGGACATGTATTCTAATATGTATAATCTATGTACCAAGTTTGAATGAAAACTTACAGAGCATGTCCAAAATACAGCAGATGACTGCCATTCGGCCATTTTGAACCGAATCGTAAACCACTGCATGTGCATATGTCCCACATAAAGTACTAGGCACATGCAAAGACTGAACCGAATCGGTCCGAAGGATTCTGAAATATGAATCCGGACGCACGCATGAACGCATGGACGGACGGCGACGAAATTATAAGTCCCTGTTTTCGGACTTCGTCCGAACGGGGACTAATAAAGTTAGAAACAAATTATGTGGGCTGTAAAACGTGGCACTGTGGCGTCATGTGTTTACATTGCTGCCACTCAGCACATGAATGCGTGACTGTAAATGTCGCTCACTGATAAACACTATCTCGAGATCTGATATGGCATGCAAAGAGTTAATAAAAACACAAATAGTTTAAATAATATCACAATTTGGGTGTTTCATTGAATAAAGAATTCAATTTTAAGATTGCAAAACAGATACAAAAAGAGGGGATATGCCTATCCATCCCATAATCAATACTTAGTATAGTTCCACGTGACCAATAATTTCAATATATTTCAATACAAAATGATCCCCGCTGGCAAATTTAAATAAACATACTCTCCCATATTGTAAAAAACACAAATAAAACAAGGCACTGTGTGCAAGTCTATAATACTATCAACAAATTGGTTTTAAATAACCGTGTGTGTCACAAACTGACCTTTAAGGATGACGGTACCTGTTCTCTTAAATGTTGTAAAAGCTGTGGATACTTATCTGGCGGTAACACCTGAAGGGGGTCACACCAGGCGTCAGAGAACGCCGAAAAGCTCGGCGACGGGTCACACCGGGCGTCAGGACACGGCGAAGAACTCGGTGACGTTCTATCCATTTATGTGGTGTTAAGATAGTTCTGAAAATTGAGAACTGCCCCTATTCAAAATACCTAAATAGACGAATTTGTAAATGTAGTTTGAATTGGCACACACCCCTTCGTAAATCAATGCAGTCTATGTTGTAATGTGCATGTAACACTATTTTGAATTCCAATGCACACATTCGTCGCACAAAAAAAATAAAAACATTTATAGGTGGAATTCCGATATCTACTACCTTATATGTATAAATTAAACGTACATGTTTAAGATGCATGTGACGTAACAGTTAATAGTTCAGTTTATAAAACACATTTGGAAAGTGGGAATAGTAATTCCGTGATCGACTCATTGTTTCAACATAGGGCGTCATATAGTTAATGTTTATGTGACAATTTGTTTAAATGTTTAAAACGGCCGCAAAATTAAAACGAATCTAGGTAGGCGTACTATATTTATACAACTCAGGGTCACGTGCACATGTTCAAAGTGTTCTTGACTGTAACCATGGAAAGTACCTTCCATGCTGTAACACACCAGTATAATGTTCGTATGCAAGTTAGTTAAACGGTTACGTTGATATTCAAATTAGTAAACTTTACAATTTTATAAATCGATTTATTAATAACTAACATAGGAATAATGATGAATGGTTTAATAATTTTAATATCAATGTGACAGTTTAATAATTTGCATATGAGGGCAGATGAAAACACCATTCATATGCAAACAGTGCAAATCGCACCTGTTTTAATATGTACATTAAATTTCAAACTCGTTTCTAACATCACAAAGTTTTACAAATTAAATACGTGATTTTTAGTTGAAGTTGTGGTTGACGGGGTTTTGCCAGTACTCTCCTTCATTGGGTGTTCGCCATGCAGGTCGGTATAATAACCGGAACCAAATAATGAAATGAACGTGTATATACTAGTTACACAAGAACGTATACAAATCATAAATATGCATTTCACACGTAAAAATCTGTAATTAACATACCACTTGGCAATCAATGACTCAGGTCTGCGAGACTGAATAATCCGTGTGCTGATTAGACAATCGTCAATCGTCGTCTCCCATAACAATGAAGTTTAGAATTTTAAACCTATTCTGAAAGATACAATTATACATAAATCCTATCAACTGACATAGTTGACTCTATTCCTATTAAAATATATAGTTATTTTGAAACCATCACTGTGTTTACGGTTCCGGGGATGCATTGGTAACATATTTACTACTTTAGGAGTCAATTCAATCCGTCACGTGACAAATCGCCACTAGACATGCTATGAGTGAAACACATTTCTGTACGCGAAGAAAAAGAGTTTTGGGAGAATTTGGAATGACGTTTTAGTAACGTATTGGCTTTAAATTACAGTCGTTTCAACTGACATTTTAATAAATGCTAATAAATATGTTATAATAGTTATAGCCTTGATGTCAAAGGTTTTCCTTGTATGAACCAATCTGATTAGTTCGATTGTTATTGCATAATTTCTGACTTAATTGCTCCCAGCTATTGTGCCTGTGAATGCGTTTTCACAAATTATAAAATTTGTCATAATAATTGCATTTAGTATGATTATACATATCTACATTTTCATTAAAAAATGTCAAAACACAATCATTTGTCACGAATAGTTGACATGCGGTATATACGTTACCATGTAATAAAATGGTGACGAAATATAGGATAACATCCATATTTTCAAGTTATACTATATGTTTATTTTCGTTTGTCAGTAACTACTCACCCGCATCATTAGATGTTTTAAGATGGTCAGTACGTGAACCAGCTATAAAGATGACACAAGTCTTGCTGTAATACTTCAACATCCTACTTAATGTTTACTCTTTCTAAAATGTTTGTGTCATCAGTAAAAATGGAAAGCATTGATATTACATTTACAAGAGGTTCAGGGACTGGTCTTCCTTTCTTACATTTGTGCTTGTCCATGTGAGCTAACGCATTGTTATGCAATCACATTAACCTAATTTAAGGAGATCAAATAAAGCAACGCAGAGCTTCCCCATACAAGGAGGCGCTGAGAACGGCCGGAGGTATTTTGGAGTGCGCATTATCTATACAGAAGAGACAGTAGGAATAATGACTTTCATGTCATGATAGAGCGTGGTGTATTCATGTGGGTCACGAATAACGGCTTCACAGCGTACTGGGTAGTTTACTAGTGTATTATGTGATGCACATGGACATACAACAAACTTCGCACCATAGAATAAATAGAAACATGGTTTGTTGGTGAATGTATGAGTACGAAACTTTTCATGTGTATATTACTCCACCAGGTCACGCCCAAATGCCCGCTATAATATAACGGATATTTTTCCATACATTTGGCGATTGTGTCGCACTGATACATTATCCGATCTTATTAAAATATCCCGAGGGTATTTATTTATTTATTTGTACATGTAGTTACTAAATATTTGAGAGAGTGGTTGTTTTCCTTTTTTTTTTTTTTTTTTGGTCGCCAAACTCAATTGTGGCTCTTTACGAT